CCCAGTAAATGGGAATGGCAGTGACTGCACCAGCGGAGGTAACAGATGAAAAAGTGTTTGACAAGTTATTTTGTTTTGTTTCTTCAGACTAACCGGCTCGCACTTGAAGAAGTCGCACAGATTTCAGGGCCAGTGAAAAGGAAGGCTGGTATCCGAACCCAGGCCTCAGCCCACTTCCTCACGATTTGACTTCTGTGATGTTTTCTAAAAAGGGTCCATCCGGGGAGAGTGGATCTCAAAGTTCCCCTGTAGCCTGTATTCGTCTCTTTCTTCGTCCTCTCTCCCTCATCCTGGCATCAGGGTCTCAAGACACCCTGCAAAATGTGTAAGATGACAACGACCTGTCCAGAGAGCCTTGCCTGGCTTTTAAACTGTTTGAGTATGGTCTCTGGCCTCAGTCTTAAAACTGGGAAACGTGTGGAACTCCTGCAATGGGCCAGGTTCACAGACTGGGATTCTACACATAGGAAGATAATCCAAGCAGTGTTCCCAGAATCTTGGTAAAACAAGATTTTCCAGTCACAAATGTTAAGATTTAATTTCTGACCTTATTTAAAGACTTACAAACAGCAACGTAATTGGAAGAAGTACCCTGATGTTTTACTCAACCCCCCCCCCACATTCAGGCCCAGCCACAACAGGGTAGGGTGTGGCAGGGCAGGCTTCCCGACTCCCACACCAGTGTTTTTACCATTCATGTTAGCAAGGGCAGGTGTCAGCGGACAGTGCTGGTAATGCACAGGCCCAGAGATGCAACAGGCACCTCAGAGGTCTTGCTGCCTCCTGGGAATTTGTTATTTCGGACTGTCACTTTTAGGACAAGATGGAAAAGAGTACCGGCTACCCAGTACTAGAGAGTCCCCCCTCCTACACCACCCCCTACTTGTGAAGTGTAGGTCCTGGGTCTGGCCAACAGGCATGTGGCTTTAGAAAAATAGCCCTACTTAGTAGTTTATCAGTCAAAACAAAAAGCAGGAAAGCTGGAAGGTCTGGCTTTGCATATCCTGCCCTACTGTGAGGCCAGGAGGTGAACAATCTGTTCCCTCACACACACCAGCCATTACAGGCATATAGCCCCAACACACACATACACACCACCCAGACACATACCCCCAACACACACACACACACACACCACCCATTACAGACATATACCCCCAACACACACACACCACCCATTACAGACATATAACCCCAACACACACACACTACCCATTACAGACCCATACCCCAACACACACACACAGTACTGCACATTTAGTTCCTACTGAAAACATTTGCCAGATGAGTCACTTAACCAACTGGACAAGCAGGCAAAAGCGCTCCAAATTTCCCAACACAGTAACAGCTCCTTTACTTATTCTTTACTGCATCCCCACCTTTGACTAGACCTTGGATTTGAAGCTAGGGACCTTGTAAGCACTCACAGAAATGGCACAGCAGGTAGCCAGGCAAAGTAGTAGGCTAACTGAGACCTCGATTCAGTGGACCTCTCAAACACTTCTTGTGGCAGAGCCTTTTTGCGGATATACAGGTCTGGTGGGCTTCTGCACACCTTTTCTAGAAGGGAATAAAGGGGCCTGTTAACAGTGATTAAGGGTCGGAAGACACAGGAAGCCTGCACTTTTCATTTTTATATTTCTCTAAATGTTGGTATTTTCTAACAAGATACATTATCTCTTTACCTTTTCACAAGGATTAACTGATTATGGGGTGTATGTTTTTTCTTCATACTTTCGTCATTAACACTCATTAATATTTTAATCAGAAAGAACAAAAATATAAGAGCAAACAAAACCTACTATTCACTTCAGCAAGGTAGACCAGAGCTTCTTAAAGCTTTCTACTTGTAACCCCATTTCACCTGAGAAAGATTCACACAACCGCAGGTATATGTATTTTTCACACTAACCAAGTTCAAATGCCGGGCCTGTACACAATCTGTCTACTGGATGTAGACACCTGGATTAATCTCCCAAAGCAAATCATTTTTCCTACTCTTTCTTTTGACGTTTACTGTTGTACCACCTACCAGGTGAATGACCTTTGTCAAGTCCCCAAATAAGAAACCTGAGCATCATCCCAGGCCCCTCTTCCCCCCATCCTTGCTATATTTATTCCTGTTCACAATGCTTCCATCCATCCTCCTCCTCCTAATAAGCCATCTTCCACAGTGGTTTCCCCATCAGTCTGAATGCAGAGCTGGCCCTGGTACTTTCTCACTGTAAACGTCACCAAGTTTCCAATGACCTTATAAATAAAATTAATGGTTTTTTTGTTTTGTTTTTAAAGATTGATTTATTCATTGTATGTTCATGACTGGTTTTCCTACATGTGTATGTCTGTGTACCACATGCATGCCTGGTGCCCACAAAAATCAGAAAAGGGTCTCAGATATCCTAGGACTGGAGTTGCAATGGTTGGTTGTGAGCCCCCATGTGGGTACTGGGAACTGCACCAGATCCTCTGCAAGAGCAGCCAATACTGTTAACCATTGAGCCATCTCTCCACTCACAAAATCAAGGCTTAAAAAAAACTAAGTGTGTGCATGCCTATGTGTGTATATGTTTTTATGCACACAGGTGCACATGTGCTATAGCATATGTGTGGAGGTCAGAAGACAACTCTCGGGAGTCCCTCCTTTTCTACCACCTTGTGGGATTGAACTCAGGACAGATCGTCAGACCTGCATGCAGGTATCCACTAAACAGTCTCCCTACCCATAAAAATCATGTAAAACATGGAGGTCAGAGGACAACCTGTGGGGTTGAGTTCTCTCTCCACCATGTGGAAGTCATCCTGTTTCGTTTCACAGCTGGCACCTTTACCCACGGAGCCAACTCAGTGGTCTTTAATCAGAGTACCATTTAACCCTTAGTCCTACCTAACTAGAATAGTTTTCATCTAGAACCCACAGCTTACCTGGATGCCTTTATAGCTGTGGTTTTGTTTCCTATGCTAACACGGTTCCCTCTTATCCACATTACACATTTCTACCCACAAGTCATTTACTACCCAGTTCAACTGTCTTTTTTCTCTTCAAGCTTTTCTCCAACCAGGATTATCTTCTCCATGCACTCACTCAGAGCCCTTTGCTTGAATCAGTCTTAGCACCTTTCACACTGTTTTAGCTGTTTAACCATGGAAGAGTCCTGCAAAGGCAGAGGTAGTCTTTAACGTGTATGTCCCCAAGACTAGAATTCCATGCACAGAGTCAGCATGGAACAACTGGGTTATTAAAGATGGGCCACTATTTCACTTGTGCCTGCATGTCTAGGTAAGGACTTCTCCCTAGAAGAGTTACCCCCCCCCCATATTGTTTGTCCAGGAGTTCAAGCTTACATTCAGAAAATGGATGAGATAAAAGTAGACTCCTGTACCCGGGAGCTTCAGGAAGAGGAGGCAAGGGATACTCCACTGCTTACTCTGCCTCTACTGTTTGCACCTGCTACGTGCCCTACACGTGATCTCATGCTGTCCTGACAAGGACTCTGAGATAAGAGGCTATCGTTCTTGTTTTATAGGTAAGGAAATAAAAGCTCAAGATTAAGAAATTTATCAAAGTTCTCATAGTTCAGAGTGTCTGACTCTGTGACCAACTGATT